ACTGCTGGGAAGCGAGTTCAGCCGCTGTGCGTCCCAACCCTGCTGCATGCCTGGGGGCAGCAGGACTGGCTGCACGTATCACAGCTCAAGTTGCCCCCTGTGCCTTGTCCGATTGGACTGAGGGGCCCGCCTCAGACCACACAAAATCCCGTGGGCTGGATTTGGCCCATGGGCTCCATTTTGCCCATGCCTGTGCTACAATAGCAAAGACTTAAGTGTGGACTAACAACTTAGCTCCTCTAGCAGGTTTTGCTGCCTTTGCTGATCTCTGGACTGTAACACCTATACCACTTTTGGAACTGACCTAGCTAGTTTAAATCTAACTCTGGTATGTCTATACCTGTTGTAGTCATACCCTTATAGGCCTAGGTACATATGGAGCCATATAAAAAGGAGAACATTTCAAAAGAACAGTAGCTGGTGTACAAAAGCTGGGAATGATACAAATATAGCAAAACTGCTCCAACTTTATCTCTTATTAAAGGGGTTGATGTCCATGTTATGGTTTGGAGTACTGTCATATTGGACAACTTACCTTTTGGGGAGTGAGGGGGCGGTATAGGAAACTAGGGGGCTGGTGGTTAAAACAAGCAAACGAAAACACACAAGAAGTGACTGCAATGAAAGGGAATCTACCACTACTGCTGGCTCTGGCTGGAGCAGGACAGATGCAGCCTGGACAGCATCAGTGGTAGGCAGGTCCCCACTTCCTGCAGGGCAAGAGGAGGAATGGGAAGGGTGGGGAGAGAGAGAGATTGTGTGCATGTGCATGTGTATAACATTATATGATACAGCGAATTAATGCACATTCCAATTTTTTCCCCTTAATCATGAATACTATAGCTCTGCCCAACTTCCAGCCACATGCCCCCACTAATAGGACACATTTCATCCCTTTCAGGCAGGAAATGCTAAGCAACTATGCTGCAGGTAAAATCTGTTGGACTTTTAAGGAATGTACTCTTAAGGAATGTACTCTTAAGGAATGTACTCTGTCTCCCCCTTTTGTATGCCAGTTTTCCCTGAAGGCAGGTCTCAACTTGCACATCACCAGATAAGGTGCCTGTTGTAATTGTGGGGTGAAAGCAGGGACCAGAGAGCTTTCAAATTAGCCTTTCACTTCATTTTTGTGCCTTGCAGAGCCAAGGTTTCTTTTTGCCAGCTGGCTGAATTTCAGTAGATTCTTCAAGAATTCCAGCATAGCTGTTCCAGAAATAAGTGAGCTCAAATTGCTCAATACAAGGCATTGCAAAATTCTTGTCTTCTCATTTTGTGCGTATCAGTGCAGGAAACGGTAAGGCTGTGAGCTCTTCGGAAGCAACACATTTTACCATGGTAAGTCAGAATTTCAGACTTTAGAAGTTCATAGCTCATCTGGCTACTTGGTTCAAAAATTGGTATTGGAGGGGAATAGAGTTTTATCTAACTACTCATGAATTGGTTTGTTTAAATTACTTGCAAGGAGCTGTACAAGTAAAGCCCTAGTTCAGGGGTCGGCAACCCCTGGCATACATTCCAGAACATGGCATCCAAAGGCATTTTGCTTGGCAAATGCACCTCTGGGTGGACGGCAGGGAAGGGGCTGAGGCTGCACTGCCACAACTAAGATCAGGCCCCTTGCGGCTCCCCCACCATCTGCCCCTAGCATGCCAACATCTTACAGGTTGAGGCTGCAGGTGTTTTTGGCACTCTGCTCAAAAATGTTGCCGACCCCTGCCCCAGATTTTCTGCCTTTTGATTGATCTGTTCTGGGAAAAGTTAACTTTATAAAAATATTTCAACTTCTGTAGGTATTTTGAACCATGCTCTAAGAAGGTGCAGATGGAAAACACAAATATTCATTGAGTGCCTTTCTTCATCTTCTCATGTACCAGGAGATAACCTCTTCTACCACTCAACTTTAGGATGAGGTTGTTAAACCAGATAGATGCAAGGCACAGGGAACAAATTCTACTTTTCTGTATGCCTGTACAAGTCCACAGCAGTGATAAAAATAACCCAGGCAGATTCTTATAACTGCATGAAAAGCATAAGTTTTAGAGAAGAGGTTGTAGTTTCTGTGATGAATGTAGATTTATAAATGAATTTATAAATGAAAGGTTATGATTCAGTCATATTTTCGCTACACAGAAGTTTTAAATCCTATGAGAACTTACCTATACTTTAAATTTCAGGTTGAGATTTTCACAAGAAACTGCCCCATGCCCACATACCATCTTCCCCCAAGTAATTATTTTGTATATCATCCAGAATGAATCAAATCAAATTCAGAATCTGTTACATCACATACTGGGCATCAAGCTTCACCCATTTGGCTTGTAAGCTCCCTGGGGCAGAGCTGCTGTGTTTGTAGAGTTTGTGGGATTTGGGCTGCGTTTGTACAATGGTGTGCTGGTCCCTGACTGTGGCTCTTGCTGCCAAGGTACTACAAATAATAACTTCCATTTTGAAAAGCATACCACATCCGGCAACCCTTCTGCTCATATCACACTGTTCTCGTCACACAACCAGACACTGGGACAGCCTTTCTTACCTGTGTGCCCCCCTACTGCACCAGGGTCCTTTTGACCAGGCATCATCTCCCTGTTTAAGTGCCAGTACTCAGCTAGGCATCTTGCTTTAGAATTCCAACTCATGGCCAATTCACACAGCCTGAGTTACACAACGATTATACAGCTGTGAATGTCCATAGCTCCATGCAGCCCTGGTGAGCACGGAGGACTTGGATCTCCTCATCCTTTGGAGAAAGGCCCGCAGGCACCCGGCTCAGGCAGTCCCGGGGGGCAAGCCAAGGAGGGAAGCACTGGGCCCGCCATGTAGCTCAGGCAGGCTTGGTGGTGGGAGCAGGGAGAGAGAAAAAAAAAAGATCAGGCTCACTGATTTTTTTTTTTTTTCCTTCTGTGGAGCCTGCCTTCCTGGGCTGCTGCTGGACTGCCTGCATGGTCTGCCTGAACAGCCCCTGAGCTGCACGGGGCTTGGTGCTTCCCCCTGCAGCTATAGGGTAAGAAACTAAAACTCCTTGGAGGTGTTTTACTTTGCAGCGCCCCAAAGTCATTTGCTGTGTCCCAAAGTCATTTAAGGTGCATTAAACCCCTGAATGTGCTAGTGCAGCTGGAATTAACGCGCAATACATCACTGAATGTGCAAACAGCAATGCCATTAAGGTGGTGCAAAAGGCATTTAACCCATAGATTCATAGATAGGATGGGAAGGGACCGCAACAGTTCATCAAGTCCAACCCCCTGCCTAGGCAGGAAAGAGCGCTGGGGTCGGATGACCCCAGCCAGATGCCTATCCAGCCTTCTCTTAAAGACCTCCAAGGTAGGGGAGAGCACCACCTCCCTTGGAAGCCCATTCCAAATTTTGGCCACCCTCACCGTGAAGTTTTTCCTGATATCTAGCCTAAATCTGCTCTCTGTCAGTTTGTGACCATTGTTTCTTGTTACCCCAAGAGGTGCCCTGGTGAACAGAGCATCTCCAATTCCTTGCTGCGTCCCCTAATGAATTTGTAGGCGGCACAAAATCACCTCTCAATCTTCTCTTGTGGAGGCTGAAGAGGTCCAGGTCCCTCAGTCTCTCCTCATAGGGCCTGTCCTGTAAGCCCCTGACCATATGAGTGGCCCTCCTCTGGACCCTCTCAAGTCTATCAACTTCCTTCTTGAAGTACGGTGCCCAAAACTGGACTCAGTACTCCAACTGTGGTCTGACCAATGCTGCATAGAGGGGAAGTATCACCTCCTTGCATCTATTTGTCATGCATTTGCTGATGTATGATGAAGTTGGGTTAGCTTTGCTGATGATTTTGTCACTTTAAACCTGCTTTAAAGTGTCATCTACAAGTGCCCTATTAGCCCATCCAGACAGCACCCACTGGAAAGCCAAGCACAACTAGCTATCTGACTCTAATGAAGGAGAAGAGGCACTCTCTGGGCATGGTCTAATGCTGCAATAAATTCTGTCAGAACTATAAAGATACCAGCAGCAACCACAAGCTCCTTGGTAGAGCTGTCAAGGTCTGCATCTTCTATGATTTGCTGACTGAGACTGTTGCAAGAGGCAATCATGAAACTCTGGCATGTTCTGCAGAGCACTGATAATACTTGCAGCCACCAACCAAAATTACAAGCAGGAGGAGATAGCCATAGAAAGCCAGGATCTCTTTGACTTGCAAAACCCAGGAAAGACAGCAGCGCAGACAGGATCAGAGACCTAAGACATCTCCTCTCAAAACACAGGTAAAGACCCAGCAAGGACCAGTTCCAGTAAACACTATTGCTGCTTGCAGATGTGGGATGGAAAAAAAACACAAATGGCGCTTTACTTCAAAGTTCATGTGCTCCTGTACTGAACCCAGCACATACTCAGAAAAGGCAATGCATTAGTTGGACCTGGCTCACCCAATGTCTGTAAAGATTAGGTGCTGTAGTGGGGCTTTTTTGGCACTTTTAGTTAATAGCTGATTGAATCAGCTTTAGATAAAATTGCCAAGAGGCCCAGCTGAAGTGCCTGACCTATACAGATGCTGCAGAGCTGGGTCAAACGAAAGTGCTGCCTCTTCTGGTAAAGCATATTCCATGCTCCCATCTGTCAGCAGCCTAACAGCTGTCTTGTTTGGAAGCATTTGGAGTATTTTCTCAAGTGGTTTCTGGTTGCTATCACATTTGATATACAGGCTACTGGAGTCTGTATGCTCGGGAATGCTGACGCTAGCGAGCTGGCTTCCAGATTCTGAAGGCAACGCAGAAAACCCAACTCCGATACATGTTTAGTGGTGAAAGCTCAGAAAGGTTTATTATCATCAGACAGCACACCACTTGATCAATCCAACTTAGTGAACAATCAGTCCAACTTAGTGAAGTTTCACCTTGACAGGTAGAGACACCATATATATTATTCATGCTCCCCCCAGGTCTCCGAGGGACAGGTCCCCAAACTCCTGTATTTATATGTGTGTTGCCCCCACACTCATCTCGTACCAACTCTTATCTTTCTCTTTGTTGAGATATTCATTTCTACTTGTTTTGCTTGCCACATTTATGCACCTGCACTTATCTGTCTTATTAGTAAGTTCTGACTTTGTCCTTGAGTTTTTTGGGCTAATTGGGTCCTAATCCATACCCCTGGACCCTATAAAGCTATTTAGTTTAACAGTCTTGGGGACAGGTGGGGAGAGATTTCACCAGGCAAAACCAGCCAAACCAGGGAGAACCACCAAATGTAGATCCTCATGATAGAGGAGTCAGAAGCCGCAATGATTAAGAAAATGCTGCACACTAAGAATAAGCCTCCATCACCCCAACCAAAGGCACAAGCTTTTCTCCTGCCAGTCCATACCCTCATTAGAAGGGGAACAGCTGTACAGATGTGTACTACTCTAATCAGTGCAACTCTTTACAGATAGATGATATGGCAGAAGTGCTGTCTCTCTTTAACATCAGCCCCTCAGGGATTCCCGTTTTGCTTTCATGGTATTAAAGCCAAGCCCCACCTGGGGCAGCTGGCTTTCTGAGTGCTTAAAATCTCAACACAAGGGCCATGGTGATCCACTGTGAACATAGTCTTTCCAAGCCCCAAACACTGTGTCTTAACATAACTAGCCCAGATGCAAGTATCGTTTGTCACTCCTCAGGGCCTTGTGTTAATCAACCACCCCAGTCCATTCCACTGGAGTCCTTCCTTGTTCTTCTTAACAGGAAGTCTCCTGGCTTTCCGCTTGGTAGCTATCTTCTCTGTCCTCAGAAGAAAAGCTCCTCAATGGCTCTCCCTGGTCTTCCATCTTTGAGAAGTCAGGAGGTAAGCCCCTCTCCCACTCCCCAGCTCTTAGGGTTTTGTGGCCCTGTAGTTCAAACTCTCCAGCTTGGAAGAAGCCAGAGAACAAACACTTCTGTTTTTCTCCTGTCCCAAACCTGCTCCAGCTTTCTCAGTCTGTTTCTTGAGCACAGGGAAGTCAAGAATGTGGCCCTTCTACTGTTCTTGGTTTCTCCAGCCCTGGTTTGTCAACTTGGGAAGGTCCACAGACACCTACCTCTGCTGCTTTCAGCCTTGTCCAGGAGACTCCAGCAACTCTTGTCAGGTCCCCTGCTAGCTGCCTGTCCAGAGAACTCTTGCAGCCAGCTAATTGCTCTTTATGCTTTGTTTCTCCCTTTATTAGTTCTAAGTGCCACCTTACCTTTCTAATCACATCCACTGTTCTTTCCCAGGGTACATGGACCTACTTTACTTAAAGGGCCAGCAATTCAGTGACTAGCATAATAGGCCCCAAAGGGTTCCCCAGAATTACAAAGAATGGCCATCTGATCACCATCCCATTCCCCAAGACAGACAAGCAGAACATTTCCAGCCCTCCCACCCCTTCACTTTCCCACACTAGCTGGGAACCATTTCAGTGCAATACTTTGTGAAATCTCTTATGGCAGCTTATACTAGTTCTTTCTATCCCACCTTTACCACAAAAAAAATCGTGAAGACTAAGAGCTATTTGTACTACTTTCTGGAACAGTTTCCCTTTGGAATTTTTACACACAAATGAAGATTTTTCCTGGTTAGTTTGGATATAATAAACTGGGATTTAGTTGCTAACAACTGAGATGGTGCCTAATTCTGTCCAGGGGCTTTTTCTCTCTTACAGAAGTGGTTCCTGGGTTTCTTTCTTGCCATTGGCATCTTGGTGACAGTTTGTGATGCATATTGCTTTTTTCAGCAAAATAACCGAAAGGAATCTACCGAAGGTAAGCACCACAAATATTGGTTTTGAATTAGTCTTTGATCTCTGCTGGGAATAGCCAAGTAGGGTATGAAACAGGAAAATGGGAGAAGCTGACACATCAGCTGCTTCCCAATGGGAGAAGCTGACACACAGCAGCTTCCCATTTAGGGAAGAGAACACAGGCCGCATCACAGACATCTGCCTTCCAGAGGCTACTGTTCTCAGACAAGTAGCCGATATACGTTCCTATTCTGCGCAGTGAGAACATCCAGGCTAACTGGAGTCTGTGTGCGGTGCTACATTTCCATGGAATCCAAGAGCTACAGGTTTACAGTCCTCACTAGATGTCACCAGATTAACTCAGGGATGATGACAGGAAGGTTTGTCAGAGGAAGACACCCCAGCACAGCAATTCCACATGTATGCGTTCCCACAGAGTTGAGAAGAGGGAGGGACATAGAAGATACTTCGCATGTGGAGCTCCCCTGGAAAGGATAACAGATTTGAATGCATGAAGATGGCAAGATCTGACTGTGGTTATGTTACTGCTCACTTTTACAGAAGATTTGTTGTGGACATAGTAAATGAGAAGAGAACAAGGTTGTGTCCTCAAGGAAGCATATAGGGTAAAAATGAATTCAGATTGCCACAAGAGTGAAAAATTTTGAACCTGACCCTCATCTGCCCAGAGATCATTCCCATGATTTGTGTTGATGTGCATGTACAGATATATGCATATGTTGAAGTTCAAGGGAAAGGATTTATTTTTATTGTGTGTGTGCAGGTTGTGTTCAAAATGACAAGATGTATGAGTTTGGTACCAGCTGGCAGAGTGAGGATTGCCACTCCTGTAGCTGCAGCCATAGGGGGATACGCTGTTGCTCCATGTAAGTTCACCAAATTCAGTATTTGCGGTATAAAAAAAGTCACATCCACACTCTCCCCATCCATTATGAATAATCATATTCCTAAATTCAGAACTCCATTAAAAGATCTCAGGTTAGTCTAAGATGCACAGAAAAAATTGAAACAGAAGTGAACAGGCATTTACCTTAGATTCAGTTTACCCCCCTCCCTGGCCCCAACCCCCCCGCAGGTTTGCCTTGGGGGAGGGGGGTAGTCATTCCCCGTAGGCTGGGTTACATCCCCAGCCGAGCTTGCCCCCTCTCCCTTGTCAGTCAGCTCTCGCTGCTTCAGCTAGGGAGCAGAGGGGCAGAACCAGCCCTGCTCTCTGGACAGCACAACCCAGGGCTGCAAAGCATTCTGGGGGACTGTGATTTAACTTGAACCAGAAAGGGGCCAGGGATAGAAGTTTCATAAACCAGTATGACTCAAATCAGTTAAGTCTGATACTACTTTCAACCAAGTTTAGATAAACCTGGTTGAATGTAGTATCCGACCTAACTGATTTGGGTCAAACTGGTTTCAGCCATTTTGAAACTGGTTTATCTGCACTGAGCTTCTGTTACAGCTTTAAACCAGTTTCTGATCACTTAAACTGGTTTATGTTTAACTTATTTCCCTAGCCTTTGTGATCAAGTCGCCTAATTTCTCTGTGCCACAGTTTTCCATCTATGAAATGGGGATACCAGGACTGCCATAACTCACAGAAACATTGTGAGGATAAATACAGTAAAAGGCTATGTACTTTTTTACTTATGTAGTCCAGGCTTTGCATGCAGGGAGAGAAAGAGAGCTGTACGTTGTGGTGCTACCTATCACAATGCCAAGCATTGAAACGCTCTTTGTCAAATTTGCTTACATTCCAAAACTACAGCTTCTAGATTTGAGAGACAAGTTTAAAATGTTTGGAAAGTGATTTCTTTTCTTTCCAGCAGCAGTGCCTTAGGCATGTTATGTGAGTGACCTAGAAGGGGGAAGCAATAACATTCAAAAGTTAGCTAATAATTCCCAGATAAGACCCTCTAAATCCACAGGCTACTCCATCTCTCCAAGAGAAAGCTCCAGGAAGTTTGATTATACCTCTCTACTTGGTTACATTGACACCCGTCCATTAGAGAACAAATTGACTTTATTAGTAGATGTTTAGGATTGTGAATCCAAAAAAGATGACAAAGCCGGTAGGGAAATACATATCGCCCGAGCGAGGGACTAACATTAGAGGGATGGGGGTGAGGAAGGGAATGCAATTAGGTTAGTGTGACCAATCAAGCAATGACGATGCAAATTAAACAGTGAGAATGTGTATATTTCTAGAATAATTGATTAGCTGAAATATTTTGCAGCATGCTTTTGACGGTGATGCTTGCATTTTTTCCCCACCTTCACAGCGTTCATTCCCCTGTTGGCTATGATCAAAATATGTGCAAAGTGGTTTTCAACAAGGACGCCTGCAGCATCAAAGTAGTGGAGAAAACTGACCCCTCCAAAG